AAACTCATCCAAATAACATAATACCCACCCCCAACTTATAACCCAAAACCCTCAAAACACTTCGCCATCTTCTCCGTTTCTCATCCTCCGAATTTTGGTCGAGTTTGGCTGATTTCTGGCCCAAGTTGTTCTATTTTCAAGTTGTTGTTCACGGAAAATGTTCCTGCAAATCCCAAACGAACTCAGCCCTCCACATAATTAATTAATTAAATTTGAACTGATGCATTTTGATGGCCGACACAAATAGAAAAGCCACATCAAGATTACCATTTCAATCAGGGCTATTAGCTATTAAATGGAAGTAGCCATCTCTAAATGACACTATTACGGTATTACCTTGCCACGATAAATTAGGACCAATCCCATCAAGTGCTTGTTTCATAAATCACTAGACCTATCATGAAATTTGCAATTATTAACAAAAATTCAATGGATTTGTTTATAATTGAATTGAGGATCAAAATGGGTTGATCATTGATGAACGAGGATACACCAAAATTTCGAATGACAGGTAGTAGAGGAAGAGGAAAAAACAGAGGACAAAGTGTAGATACTAATAAGTGTTTTGAGGGTTTTGGGTTATAACCTGGGTATGGATATTATGTTATTTGGGTGGGGGTTTTTAATTAATATGGGTGGATCTTTTAAAAATGGGTAAATTTTTTAATAAAAATCAGGTAAATATTTTAGATTGTGACACGTGTTCCGCCGTTAGTAGAAAGGGTATATACGCCCTAAAATTTGGACGGTAAGAACATCAGCGTCCTAAAAGTATAACGAAGGATATTAGATATCATTTATGATAGTTCAGGGGTATATTTGTCTTTTTCCCCTTATAATTATGATACAAATAACTGGAAGGAAATTAAATTGATAAAATTGTCCAACAAACAAGAGAGGTAAATTTGGTCCCAAACAAGAGAATTAAATCAATACCATAATTGTTCTAGCTCTACCGTGGGCATCAAACTGTTTATCCAAAAATTGATACAATTAAATTTATCACGAGGTTTAGGATATACAGATCACTTTAACTTGTAAATGTGAGATTAAGTAAACAAATATATATTGTTAAATAAGCTTAGAGTAATTACTAAAAAAAAAATCTGAACTTGTCCGCTAAATTTACTTTGACACTTTAATGTTACAAATAATTATTTATCCCCTAATCTCATTTCAAGTGAATTAAAATCCACCCAAACAACTGACCTGACAAATAAAAAATAAAAGCGAGTAAAAAGAAAAAAATAATTAGACCTTTTTTTTTCTTTTCAGCAAATAAGGTTTTATCTTCCTCACACCTCTCCATCCCATCACCTTTATCCCACCCCTTCTTTTTCCTCACAACCCGTCGCTGCCCTCAGCTACCACTTGCACCACTACCTTCTTTCGACGAATCCTTCACCTTCTTTCTCCTTATTCAAACCGCTCACCTGCACCCCTTTTTCTCCTTTTTCGAACCCCGTCGCCCACCAACACCGTCTCACACCCTTCTTCTTCTCCCCCCCACCCCCTCTTTTGTCTTCTTCAAAACATTCCACCCCATTCATTCATTTCAAATTATTCTTAGAAGTGATGATCAAGAGAAAAAAAAGTCAACAACTTATTGTTGCTTCAAGATCCTACTTATGGAAGTGTTTGTTGATTGTGATGAACTCAAAGGTTTTTTAATAAAAAAAAATCTATAATTTCTTCATCTCAAATTAGTTTTTCTATTGTTATTATTTATTTATTTTGATAATGTATCTTAAAAATTTAATGTTTTCTAGCTTTTGATATGTAGAGTTTGATTTATTTTTTTATTTTATTTTTAGATTTTTTATTTATTTTTATAATCTTGGATTAATCCTATTTTTTTTCTATTTTTTACCTTTCTAAAATTGTATAAATAAAAAAAAACAAAAAAAACTCAAAAATTTAAGTAACTTTCAATGTGGCACTGACGTGCCGATTACATGGTGCGTATGGAATTCACTTGCCGTTGTGAGACTGATATTATAGTGTTAGGGTTGAAAAAAATCAATTGAATTAAAGATGTTAAGGAGATATTTAAACACCTGTATAGTTTAAGTATTAAAGTAAGTTGTGCTGTCAAATTCAAAAAAAAAATTTATGTATTTTCTCATAAGCTTATAAAGAACAATAATGCAATTCAACAAATGAATGGATCAATAATATCCAAGTATTGCAACTTTGGTTTCTAAATTACCGTTGCGATTAATTCTTTTTTAAAGTGTTCATATTTATTTGTAAAAATTCAAGAATATTTTTAAGGAGTGAATTACTAATAAAATTACCTTCTTATATTTGATTTTTTAAGAACCGTATAAAATAAAAAGTGATTAACTAATATGAAATAGAGGCATATACGTTTGTACGTAATTCAATATTCTAATTGCATTAAGATGCATCTTTGGAAATTTTTGTGTTTGTACGTACCGGCTCTAAATTAGAGACAAAAAGATAAGGATTGAAAAAATATATTGTAATTAATGAGAATATTTAACTAGTGGAAGGGGAAAACGACTATATTGTTAATTAATTAATCTAATACTACAATTGTCGCTTTCTCATTAATGAAAACAAATTCAATCTTATTTTTATATATATTAAATCTTTTGGAAATAATTGATGGTACGTTGAGTTAAATGAAGTTTTTTCTTGGAATTAACATCACATTTAACTCTACCTCTTAATTAGTAAAACAAGTCCCTTAAAACTCATTTAATTTCATGCCAAACTTTTGGTCCTCACGTTAATAGTATTGATCCTTAATAATAAAGTATATTGCCTAATTAAGAGAAAAATTCAAATGATACTCCTTAAAATCATGATACTAGCATATTATTTTTTACGGCGAAATCAAAAATTTCACTAGAAATATTCTAGATTATTCATTACCTACTAAAAGATTAGTTATTGAATGAGTACGCTTTTCAGAATCCTCTATGTCAGAGTGACCCCATTGGGACGATCTAATCACCTAAAATTCAAGCTCGATCCATTAGATTGTTCAATTTCTTTTTTAAACGATAAAATGAAACATCATCAAAAAAAATTGGCACAGTTTTTTTTGTGTTTTCTATCGATCTGTCCTCTATTTTTGTGGAGTGATTCATGCATTTGTTCATGGTTCCATCCTTCTCTAGATTGTACCAAAAGACTTAGAAATTGGGTTCTCCGCAACAATTGATATAGGGAAATACATAATAGTTATATGTTTGGTAAGTACAAGTTATATGTTGATTCTTCTCGGTCTTTAGTGCATCGAGTGCCTATGTCTTATTATAGGGTTGTTTAAAATCAAATCGAAATCGGTAATTTGAATCGGAAAAAAGTTATTGGTTTATCAATAATGAGTTATTGATTTAGCGATTTCGGTAACGGTTTTGATTTATTTTATTATCGAGTTATTAGTTCTTAACAGTTTGAAGTTTTTTCTTAACGGGTTAATCGATAACCCGATAGTAAATTAAATCATTATATTTATATCATTTCGTATATGAAGTCCTTGACTTAGAGTTTAGTTTCATACTTTTATTTTAGGTTGTCTCAAACTTTCGTTTATTCTGCAATGTGACAGTGTTTACTTTTGAGCAAGATGCATTCTAGTAACTCATGTGCATAGTTCATTAGGTTTGTTACCTTGTTTCTAATGATTTTCCATGATTTTTTTGTGACAAATCTTAACGATTAAACCAATAACGATCAATAACCGATAAACTAATAACCAATAAGTCAATATCTTAATGATTTAGCACTACAAATTGATAATTGATAAATCAAATCAATTAACTTCAAAATCGAATTGAACTGACCGATACGGTACGTCGAATATGCATTAGAGAATTGACAGCTGATTTAGCGGATATTTCAACAATAATTTCATAAATTAACTTTATGTCCACTTTCATACGGCCGGCAACAACCTTTTATTTGTAAATTGTCTGCATGAATTGACCCTTTCAAACAGAACAACTAATTTGTTTAATTCATACCCAAAATTCCCAAGTAGTGGTTACCCATTAATGTACTTATTATTGAAGAAAAATAAAAACAATAAGATGTAATTTATTTAAGTATATCTTTTTTATAAAAATAATAATAATGATGTACGTATGGACATTGACTTATCTAAGTATTCAGCATGAGGAGGGGTGTTCATGAGTTGATTTGGATTGATTATTAGTTAAAATCAAAACTAAATCAGTTTAATTGATTTTTAAAATTAATAAAAAAACAATTCATACTAATCATAATACATGTTTAACGATTTAGTTGTTATCTATTTAAGTTCGATTTGGTTCGCTTGTTTTAGTTATTAATCATATACGAAAATAAAAGAAACGATTTATTCAAAAGAGAAAAAAAAAACATTTCATTCACAAGGAAATGAATTGTATTTGTGTTATTTTGGATCTTAAATTCTTATATGAGAACTCCAATTATATTTAACTTTCTGCTTATATTGTTAGTTAATCCAAATGTACTAAACAACATAAATTTATTGAATAAATGCATAAGCTACTGATATAATTGCACAAATAAAAGGTGCATCATACCAGTATTTTTCACTAGAGTGTTGTAATCATTTTAGAATAAAAAGTTATTCATAAAAATAATATATTATGTATACAATTTGTCAGTTTTCGAATTGATTGAATAAAATCAAATAAAAATCAATCTATTTAATTGTTTGATTCAATTTTTTCAATTTGAATTGGTTTTTATCCAAACTATGAACACCACTAACTTGGATATGACTGCACCTACACAATTTATTCAGAATATATATCTAGAAAGATGAAAAATAAACGGAAAATGTATATATATATGTAGTATATCACACTTGATTAACTTTAAATCTTGAATTCGTCACGATAAACTTGGCAATAGAATTTTCCATTGGACATGTTTAAAAAATAAAGAATTGGAAATTCTCAACCTTGAAAAGCCAACGAAAAAAAACGGTTTTCTATTATAATAGAAACCTCAAAGCCCCGCCAAGAAAAACCAAAGGGTGAAAAGAAAAAAAGAGAGAGCCAATAATTTTCTCCATCAATCTTCCTCTCTTCCCTCCTTTCTCATATCTTTTCTTTTTTTCCTTTGAATCCCAAAATCAAAGGAAAAAAACAGAAAAAATATCAATACCCCTGTTTTTTTTCTTTTTGCAAGTTCCTCCAATTCTTCATAATAAAAAGATGGGTTGTGGGGAATCAAAGCACGCAGTTGCAACGGAGAACGCTACCATTCCTAAGAACAAGAGATCATTGAGTTCTAAATCTGAATCCACAAAGGGTGAAAATGGGGTTGCAGAGATTGTAAGTCGTGATGAAAAAGTGGAGGAGGAGAAGGAGTTGATTGCACCGAAAGTGGTGGCTGTGGAAAAAGAAAAGTCTGAGAAGAAAGAAATGGTGGAATTGGAAAAAGCGAAAGAAGATGAGGTTGTTGAAAAGAAAGAAGAGAAAGTTGTAGAGACGAAGAATGAAACAACAACCCCTGTTTCTGTTGTAGAGAACGATGAAACAACTCCGGTTGCTGTTGTAGAGAAGAAGAATGAAAATGAGGAAACATCCCCTGTTTCTGTTGTTGCTGTTGTGGAGAAGAAAGCAGAAGAGAAAACTGGTTTGTTCTTCTTTTCTTTTTTATCACAATTTCTTTTGTGCTATAGTAATTGTTTTTACATACTTGTTGTTTTATATTCTGATGGTGTATATACACCACCATATTCTTTATTTGATCCAAGAGTCTATCAAAAACATGTTTACACAAGATAGGGCTGTCAATGACTCACCCTTTGTCCCAACATTACAGAGGTTATATGTTAGCTAGTATGAGTATATATTTGAAAATTTGCACATCCGGCAAGAATATTTTCAAAAACACTATTTATCAAAATCTTGAAGATTTTATTTTCAAATTTACAACAAGGGGAAAGACCAAGGATTTTATGTTTTATTCTCTTGTCCTTTTTTTCCTTATTGATTTGTTATATGCATTTGTTTAACCCATAGAGGAGACCATCAAGCCAATTGAAGAAGTGAAAGAGAAAGAGAAGGAAGAAGTTATCGCTGTTTCTGAGGCCACAAATGCTGCTAAACCAGAAACTGTCAAGGATGATGATAAACCAGAAACTGCCAAGGATGCTGATAAACCAGAGACAGAGGAAAAGCCAAAAGAGGTATGAACTTGCCATGTAAAATGTAAAATCCTTTTGTTTCTTTTAGGGTCGTTTGGTTGGGAACAAGTTATTCTCGGTTAATTGTCTCTGAATTAACTAACCTGATCTGATCCCATCATTAAGGAATAAATGGTGGGATAAATAATAATCCCATGTCCATAATGTTAGCAGTTTTTTATGGAAACAAGTGTCAATTTTATTTTATTTTGAATTTTGCAGGAAAATGCAACTGAAACATCAGCAACAGATTCAAAAACAGATTGAAGTGCAAGCATGGGAATATGGAAGAAGAGTGTTTATTAGTTTAATCCTTGCTTTTTAAAGCTTCTTGTAATTTCCACCTTAAGTATACATATTTGTTCCATGATCTGTTTTCATCTCTTCTGCTTATATATTTATATATATAACATCCCATTTCATCTAAATCTACATTTCTTTTTGGGTATTTCTTTAAATTGTTGTCAAAGCTTGTGACTAAAAATAGTTTTCTTCTGTTGCTCTTCTTGACATTATTAAGAATCTCCACCAACCCTTGATAAAATCATATATTCACTCCCCTCAAATCAATTTAGGTGGTATCATTTTCTTTTTAAAGAATGTTACTTTATTATAATTCGAAATAATTTAACTTTAGAATTCTCTTTTTACTTTTAATAGAATGATTTACAGCGACACAAATATCTAAAGATTGTTTTTAAGACCTCAAGCTTCAAAGTCTTCTTTTTTTAAAACATCATGTCAAATCAAATGGTACCACATAAAATGAGACGGAGGAAGTAATATAATATTTAATTGAGTACGTTAAGATGTCAACTGGAAATATATGCTTCTCTATTAGTGCTAATGGAAGAACACGATTTTGTTTGATATTAAAAGAAACATTACATCAATGTTGTATTAAAAAATTTCAACAGAGAGATTTATATGGCAAACACTTTGAAACATCCCAAAATAGATATAAGAAAATGTCATAAGTAAAAATTTGTACGGTTAGAGTAACATGAAGACATATATCATTCTTAGTTCTATTCGTCATTAATTTCATTCTATTAATGGGTTCTAGTGGGAAAAAGAGAAAAGTATCGAAAACATCCCTAAATTCAACGCAAATTATTAGTTATATTGACAAGTTTAAAAACTTAAATAAACCCCCGAACTTGCAACATGAGTTATAAATACACCTCTAAATTATCGTCAAGTTTAGAGGTGCTTTTAACACTTCTCTAAACTTTATATTAAGAAAATTCATGCTCCTACAAGAGTTTGAGACCACTTGCTATGTCATGTGGCAGATCGAAGATGTATCTAAATTTAGTTAGTCAAATATAGAAATATTTTTAAGGTTAACAATAATTCAAGCATGAAACTATTAATTTGCACTTAGGGTTTTTTTTTCAATACTCTCTCATGTATACTATATATATAAAACGTGAAATTGTATCAACTAAGTGACAAAATTATTGTTTCTCGTTCCTTATCCTAGAGAAAGAAAATAAATCTTAGAAGGAATGGGTATATCAACAATTGTCAGTGATTGGGAATCCATTTTTTGTCATTTTCAAAGGAGCAGATAGCTACGTTTTCGAATTTACAGAACATTAATCATATATCTCTTTTTATTTACATGGATAAGATGTAAAAAACGATAACAAAAACAAAGTTAAATAAAAGGAACTATATACACATCGCCCTTCCAAGCAAAAGGACACAACTGGCATAGTTTGACTAGCTATACATTTTTCCTATTTAAGCCTTAAAGTGGGAAACTCTGCTTCAGCTCTCCCAAATTTTGGAGAGTCAAGTGGTAATCCCAATCATCTCTATAATGATTTCCCTTCCTCACTAGACTCCACATTCATTCTCAAAACAGAAGAAGATATATTTCTGGAGAAGATGACATTTCCATCATTGTCTGTTGTGCGATACGATGCTAGACCATTACCCATCACAATTCTGCACCCCGCTGATACATCACATGATAATTTTACACCAAAATATCTCACATGATCCTTAACACTGTTGCCTTTCACCGACCTACAAAGATGTGATCAAAGTTACAAAGAGGCCAACAACAGCTCTAGTAACATTCAGCCAGTCGTTTATTACTACCAAGATAATTAGAGAGGAGGTGCACCTTTAGGTGTCTCCAGTCTCGACATGTTTCTAATCCAAAAATTGGTCTTTCTGGATCCTAAATTACCAGCAAGATTACAGATTATTTCGTTACAACATGGTTCAGCAGTAAAATTACCACTTCTCTTACCAAATATCAGTGTATTATGGTTTCACTTTCTTGTTTGTTTATCAACAGAAGAAAAGTGAGAGAGACTCTCTTCTTTTCTTTTTTGCATCATCACAATTATGTACGGTTGTGTTTCACGTACCTCATACAGCTTTAGAAAGTTCTTGTTAGAATTTATTTTAATGTTTTGTTTTTTTCAAATTGCTTTCTCATTTGACAAATGGAAGTTGTATGATGTATCAGCATTTTTGCCATAATGCTTTATAAAATGGATCCATATGTGCCCTCAAACTTGTTATGATTTGCCATAAGCATTTTCCACTGTTTGCATTTGTAGTTTAACTTAAACTAACCGCATGAAAAGCAATTTGAAGAAATCCAGTGCATATATTTCTGCTGAGCACATGAAAGAGAAACTTTACCTGCTGCAAGAAGGATCCTCCCCAGAATTATCGCAGACCTTTTCAACTGTATAAACTAAACTTCCAAAGCCAAGATCATAAAGCCAGACCTGCAATTTCAAGATCTCACAGTCAACATAATGCAACCACAAATCAAGACAGCAAGAGGCAGAGTCACTTGAATGTGTCTAAACATAGTTCGAATGCTCACAATGAGAAAGACTATTACCATGAGTCTTTATCATATATTCATGTGTAACTTCTTAGTGCAGAAGTTACAAAAAAATACAATTATTGACAACCTTCTTTTTTTAATAAATTCATAAACACCATTTCAACATATCTTCGGTATTTACTATACTGTACAGATATAATCTCAGAGATGCAGAAAGTTGGTTAATAGAGAAAAATTCACAATTTAACATTAACATGTAAATTTGAAATAGCTAAACAAATTTAAATTCTTGAGATTTGATGTTTTACGAATTAGCCCGCAGCACTGAACTCAAGATATTCTATGTATAGAGATCATTCCTTACAGCTAGACTTGTGCAGTTAAAAATCAAGCACTACAGGGTTTTGAGTTGAGGAACTTGCCTCTCTAGGGAAATGGCGATAAGTTTTGTGAGGGAAGTATTGATAGTAAGGGGGCAAATGAGGCACAATATCATGACGATTTGTAACACGAATTGTATTGGGGACCCGTTTTCTGTAGTAGGACACAAATGCAGCATTACCAATTCGTGGTTGTCCAAATGTCATAACCGAAACATTCTGGCATCCAAGATGCACCTGGAATAAGAAGATAGATCCATTAAGTGCGAGTTGGAGAATATTTCTTGCATTATATGGCAAATGGTCCACAAGGATATGCAAGATCAGTGATATTTAAGATGAGACCTATTTTTTTAAATGGCTAGTCAAAACATGTAAACAATGATTTTTTGTAAAAAGAGTGGCGAGTCTTTAGTGCATACGGTGAGATCCAGGCCACAGAAAGCAGCCATAGCCCCTCCCATTGAGTGTCCAGTCACTATAATTGGAATATTTCCATAGAACTCTTTCGCACTTTTAACAGCAGTTAGCACTCCTGGACGCAATGACGTGTTATGATAAGCAGAATAAAATCCATGATGCACCTGGAAAGAGGCAGAGATGACGAATTTGCAGAAAAGAAGGTGAAAAAACAAAATAGAAGCAGAAGAGGCTTGGCGTCAACACACACCATTGCATCTTCCATTCCTGGATAAGATATATCAAGCTGCTTCCAGTTTAGATCTTCAATCCAATTCTGTAGGCTGTAACCAAAAAGTTAAAACTTGAACTTCATATCAAATATATGTTGAATCGCACAGCCAGAGACCATATAGCTTCATTCCTATACAGTAATTTAGATAATGCATATTACATCACAACCGTGAGCAGATTGATCAGAGGTTATTAGATTTTAAACTTGGTCACCATGAACATCAACAAACAAAAGAAAAGTCTTAACATTTCACAGCTTAGACCTGAAGACTCTAGTCAACTTCTTTTTTTCTGCCATTTAGAAAAATTATCCCAGACAAGAAGTAACAGAATTCTGATTGAAGCAGCTTCAGCCACTCCTGGTTCACAAGTTATGAATCAACAGTCATAATCTATTACGGTCAAGAGATTCAAACTCCTCAACAAAATTTTGAAACCAAAATCACAAGAAGTTATAGTACTCACTCCATCCCATATTAGTTGTCCATGTTACTGAAAATAGTTATCCCAAATTACTGAATTAATTAAATTTCTCATTTTGCCCTTACAATTAATTCTTGTTGAAAGTGTAAACAAGTTTGTAAAGTTCCAAAAAAGTTTCTTAAGGTTTCGTCATAAACCAAATTTGTTATTTCAAATTACTTAAATCAATAGTTCAAACCGCACTCAAAGATGGGGCATTTCTCATTTTTATAGGAACTTTTGTACCAGAAAGAATGGTAACTCCAATTATAGCCACTTTGGGATGTAAAATATATCTCCTCTCACCATCCTCATAGTGTATGCGATAGGGGTAAATTAGTAAAATTACCCTTTCTTATTTATAATTTTTAAGGGGCGTGTAAAGGGGAAAGTGGACAACTAATATGGACAGAGGGAGTAACTATAAGTAGCCAAATACACAAGTACCTTGGTGCTTAGAAAATTCCATAAAGACTGAATCTTATTTTATAAGGAAAGAGGTTTTGAAGCAAAGGGTGGGTGGTTCACTTGTGATGAAGCCCGAAGTGGAAGCCCAATGTCCAACATTGACATTTTCTTATTCTATTAATAGTAAATGTCTTCGATAGAAAAATCCAGAAGAAACCTAGAAAATTGGGTGTTGTTTGGTTCATGTTTTACTTTTATGCAAACGGTTCACCCAATATTTGGCTTTTCCTCGACATGCACATATGATTTGGCTTGCTTAAACGAGCTTCAACAACTAAGTTATCCCTTCTAAACATCTTGCTAAAATGAGCTTCAACAGCTAAATTATCCTTTCTTTTGATAAAGCTTCTTCTGCTTTCTTTTTCGTTTTTTTCTTCAAGAAACAACTCTCTAAGGTGCAAAAGTGAGACATGACCTCAGGCATGACAAAAGTTGCAGATCTCATAGGTGTTTTCACTTCCCCCTAAATGACTGCTAAAGAAAATTAGGCTTTCCCTTGTCTCAGAACATTTTCCAAACACATTACACATTGATTAGGACTATTCAGGTTGAAAGAAGAGAAACTAAGAAAAAATGTTAACATGTCAAGACGATCAATTAAAACTCTTTAGCTTGTCAAACTAAATCCAAATATCCAGTGGACAGCTAATTCTATCAATAGCATCTCTGCCTCTTTTGTTGCAACAAATTCAGCTGGAGAACAGTACTTAGTTATACACCCCCATTGGTGTATGCATCCACAACATCGTAAAAGGTGGTTTAGATCCAATTCTCGTTTTCAACATAACAAATTTTCATGGAATATCAATAGCCAACTTGGACCCAGACAGCTAGCCAGTAAAGTATGTAGAAGTATAACTTTCTCTATTAATTTTACAACTTAACATGATTTTATCACCTCAGTCATGAAATTCTTACTGACTTTCATTAGGTTCACAGGATTTAAAGAGTAGCATATCATTATTCGTTTCAAGAGAATGGTTTTCCCACAAAGACATCCATTTTAACGTAAATGACTATTTAACCACGAAACTACAAATTTTGAAACCCCATAAATCAAATTTAATGTTGCACAATAATGATAATAAAGTAAGGGGCTGGTATCCAAACCTGCTTTCCTGAGTGCCTCTGAATGCAATAACAATGGCATTAAGATCCTGTGCCACACCTACAAATGCCTGCAATGGGCATTGGGTATTAGATCACATAGTAGCGGCTTAGTGCGTCTAATTAAGAACAAGCTTACTTCTGCATAGTGTAATACACACCTGAAGGCATCGTTGCACATCAACAATGAGCTCTAGAATTTGAAATCCCTGCTCAAGGAAAAAACAAAATATATCATTCAAAACAACTTAATAATGAAGGCTTGAACAAACCAATCATATATGAAAACTACGTGTGATATTTATTTTTTGATCCTAGCAAGGTAACTATTGTGATATTTATATGAAGCTTTTTTTAACATTAAGTGTGCTATAAGATGATGATCCATATAGCATACCTTGGTTAAATCATTACATCTTGAGCATGTCCAGGCAAATAATTCTGTCAAATCAGACACATAGACCTGCAAATGAAAGGGTACTTTTTGGTTACAGTCTAATTGATATCAAATTTAAGTGAACAATGTAAAGTAATTACTGCATTAAAGGAGCAGCCTGAAGTGGTAAATGTCGTGCATTAACTGCAAATCAGAAGTGCAGAAAAACAAAGGACAGGAGTTCCAGAAATATAGAAGTTAAAACTACATAAAAAGCATTTAATAATCTTAATAAAAAAATTAATACAATTGTATTTCAAACTCAAGTGATGAAGCCTCCAAGATTCTAAATTCAGAACATTTACAACCCTTGTGGCCCCGAAACTACAACAGATCCAGATAGAATTTGGAAAAATATATTAAAAAGGTATGAAGTTCTCGGAACTTACTGCTGAAGCATATTCCACTAATATGGTGGCAAGGGTGTGGTTGTAGATAGCTGCATGATGCTTGTTCTTGGCCTTCACTTTGAATTCTGCAGACAAAATAATTGTAAGCTATCTAGAAATTTTGTCAACGGTAGTCAACAAGATCAGTTTATGGCGACAATCAGAAAGAGCACGGTGTAAACAGAAAAATAACTTCATAACATATATTAGTAAAATACTTGGTGAAAAAAAAGTTTTGATCTGCTTGCACTAAGCAGAAACTAAGAGTTCTGACGTCTAAACATACAGCAAATCTATCAGCGTTTTCACATTCCTCTCTAACAGCTCCACCACGCCTACCTCAATCCTCTGTCTCAAAAGTGTCCTAGTTTGAGTTTAACAGAAGAGTTAAACTTTAACATGTTTAATATGAGATGAGTCATATACCAACTTTTTTTGTTTTCTTAGGATACTGTAGAAAAATAGTTGGATAAATAAAGTTAACAGTAGTCCAGTTAAAGCTTTCTAGATATAAGAATTTCAATGTAAAAATATTCTGAAAAATGCTAAATTGGATTGCAAAACCATCCAAGAAAGCATACTATACGTAGCATAGAGACGATTTTATCTTCAAGTTGAAAGAAGTTTTAAGTAAAGAAACTAGCCACATTAATATCATTGCTAATCATCCAAGTAAACACGCTACACTGGAAACTGAAATTCAAGTCTAAGTAGTAATTAATAATTCTATCAAATCATGATTACCTCTACCAGTTGAAACCGCAATTAAGCATAGAAAAATAACCACCTTTAACCATTTTTTTCCATCCATGACCTGTATAACAATGTCCAAAACAAAAAGCTCAGCTAAAAAAAAAACCTAAATAACTCGGACAATAAAATACATAGAAATCAGGAGATAAAATTCAAACAACCGATCACCTGGAAACTTGAATATGCTCAACTAGGAGCTCCGTTATCCTATTGGATTTGTTATTGTTCCTTGTGAGTACCGGCGATGGCGAGCAATGTCAACCGGCGATGAATGCAGAATTTATAGGAAAGGAAAAAACGTAGAATGGAGAAGAGTCCAAGCTTTTTGGCATAGAATAAGGTAAAATTGGGTTTGACTATGGATTAATACTTTCGTGACGGTACTGAAATCTACAGGTCATCGTAAGAAAACGCCGCCGTGAGGTGGCGTACATAAACCGATTGCGACTCCGATACGGAATTAGCGTCCAAATATTTCGTTTTATATTTTAAAATAATATAAATAAAAAATTACTTATAAATCAATTCATCCCAGTAAATACTTTGGTGAGGTTGGTGGTTGTATAAAAATAAAAAAAGGTTACATAATGTAATCCCTCCTTTTAATTTGCTCCACTTTAGGGGAAAATGTTTTTTTATTTTTTTTTATTTTTTTGTGTCGAGTTAAAATCAGAAAATATTTTATTATTATTATTATTTTTCATTCGGTGTTCGGAGTCCACATTGGTGCTCCGATTAAATTTGAATCGCACACTGCAGGGCCCATTCGGAGGTGGCGCTCCCAATAAGATTTTCTTCATATTCAGAACTCGAACACGAGACATTTGATTAAGGGTGGAATATTTCTACCAATTCACCATAACCCATGTTGGTAAAATCCAAAAACAAATTGATAGGGCTAAAAGTAATTTGTTGGTAAATGGAACTCAGTTATGATGTAGTGTTCCCTATTATGTAGTACTAGTTTTTTTTCTTTTTAACTCCTAATGGAATATTAGAATATCCGTTTCCAAATTCGCGACTGTTAATTTACACATCACTTATTGGATTATGCCAAATTTCCAAATATTTGATCCTCTTTTAGCTGCATTTGGTACCTATGTGTCCGGTACACGTCAGTCAATGGATGATGCCAAATTTCCAAATATTTGATCCTCTTTTAACTAGGGGTGTCAATGATATGGTTGATTGATTATTTTTTTAAAATTATATCATTTCAATTTTTTGGGTATTTTTTAATATGTAACAAAAATTAGATTTTTTAAAACCATCTCAATCATATTGGTTTCTCTACGGCATCGGTACGGTCGGTTAAATTTCAAATTTTTTTTTACTCTTAATATATCACCTCAAAATATACTACTATTAAAATATTTATTTCGCAAATATGTTCTTGATGAAACACTTTAATTCTTCACCAAGAAGACAAAAATGTGAAACTTTATTGCCCTATTGTTTGATCTTAAACATTTAATAGGAGTGTTTGCATAGGTTTTGATGTATTGTTTGATAGAGTATCTATTATAGTATCTTTTAGTTATAAACCTAATTAAGCAAGGCTAATTAAAGTGCAAAGACTCAAAATCATCTAGTCACCAGAGGCCTAGGACTTAGGTTATTTATATTTGAAAAATGTCATAAAATATATTTATAACATAATGTTAATATATAAATATATTTACATACATGTAAAGTTATTCGGTTCAGTTCAGAATTTTTTTGGTTTTTTTCATAAATTAAAAAGATCATCCAATTGTTCGGGACGGTTATACACTTAAATAAAAGTCAACGGTTTTATTGAAAAATTAATTTCTGATTTATTTTCTCATGATTGGTTGGTGAGTAAGAAAAAAAAAAATATATATATATATATGTATATATATACTTTTAATGTTTGGTTGGTTAGTGAAAAATATATTTTATTTTCTACTAGAGAGTAGAAAATATTTTTTAAGAAAATAGTTTTTGATTCGGAAAGCAATTTCGATAATTCGATCCAAGACCTCACCCCAACATCCGAACTAGGACACGATACTAACGGACAATTCAAAATTCAAGACCTATCCCTGACTTTCGACCCGACATTCAACTGTGACACGCGAATCTGGACACGACCCCAACACTGACACTCGATACCGATATCCAACCCCAATGACTAATCTGAGATCCTATCCGTACACTTGACTCAGGACCTGACTCCAACACTCGAATTAGGACCCAACTTTCGAACCAAGACCCGAGCCTGAGATCCGATTCTGACATGTTATCCTGGACTCGAGACCCGACATTTAAACTGGGATTCAGCCCCGACTTAGGATCTGACATTCAAACTAGAACCCGACTCTGATATAGAAATCGACCCTGACTTTCGATTCGAGACCCAACATTCAAACTGGTACCAACCTTGATATACACGACACACGATGTGGGACTCAACTTCCGATCGAATATTTGACTCCAAATCACGACTTAATCCCGACTTTCGAAACAAGACTCAACCACACCCGACTCAAAACATGACTTTCAAATCAAAACTTGAAAGAAAAAAATTTGTGTGAGGGAAGGAGGCTGGTAAGGGGTGAGGGGTAAGGATGGTGTAAAAAATGAAAATTTTCAAATAATTATCAAAAACAAACTTTTAAATTTTTTTTATGGAGGGGAGGGTCTGGTAGGGGTATCGGGATAAGGGTGAGGTAAAAAAAATAATTTTTAGAATTTTGTTTTTTTTAAAAAAAACAATCTTTTAAAAAAAAAAATTGTTGGTGTGGGGGGTATGGTAGGGGGTGGGGGTAGTGATGGAGTAAAAAAATGAAATTTTTAATATTTGAAATATTTTTAAAAAAACTTTCAATTTTTCTTGTGGGGTGTAAGGGTAGGGAAAGGTAGGGATAAAAAAATTGAATATTTTAAAATTTGAAGTATTTTTTAAAAATAATTTTTTAATATTTTTAGTTTGGATGGGGGATGGGGGCTGATTTGGGGTTAAGGGGCGGAGTGGGGGTGGGGGTAAAAAAATTGAAATCTTTCAAACAATTTTTTTTTTAAAATTAAAAAGAATTTGAGGGAGGAGGGTTGGGTACGGGGTGGGTAAAAAAATTATAATTTGAGGTTGGAGGAGAGTTCTTGAAAATGTTTTTCATATTTTTTTGTGGCAAGTCATTTTCCTTAAATATGAGGAAAATAAGTTGATTTTAGAAACAATTTTTAGAACATCTAAACCAACCAAACAAAGAAAATTGAAAAACATTTTTCAAAAAAAGTTTCATACCAAACATTTAAGACTCATTTATTTTTATTTATATAAAAATTCAAATATTTTTATTGATATGTTATATTAAAATTTGAATGTAAAATAATTAAAATTATTTAATTGCATTAACATATTAATTGTTGCTCCCAACAGCACACACAAATTTACGCGATCGTACAAGTAATAAAGTAACTCAAAGAGTCGGATCTCAAACTCGAAAGGACTTGTAATTTGATAAAATCTAGTTAGATCTAGTGACACAACTTTAAACAAGTGTTACATTAACACATATATATTTTGTATTTATATCTACTTAAATTTTTTTTTAAAAAACAAGTAGATGGTTGTGGTTACAATTTAAGAGATGTTATATGGTTACGACTTTGTTTCGCAGTTATACAAAGTATTCAATTTCATAGATTTAATTCACTTATATAATTATTGATTTACGAGGTTAATAATATGATAATGATTTGTTGAACCTCTAATTATTTATTCAAATTAGCTTACAACTACATTATTGAACAAAAATATGATAAATCAATCTAAACGTATTTATATTCCTTCTCTGTCACGGCCCAATCTGCCATGAGAGGCACCCACACTAATTTGTGGTGTGAGAACCAACTATATACCAACATGTAAAACACTAAACAACAAAAGGAAGTAGTTTTTAACAATTTAAAACAATTTTCATAAATAAACACCACTATCACCAAACAGTGGGGAAGTAACCCCTTAGAAACTGAAAGTCGTGTATCAAATCATCTACGTAGTCTAGAATGTGGGATGCAACCCCAAAACAACGAGAGTCTGAGTTCGAAAAATAGACAAGAGAGAAAAAATGAACCATAGCAGCTCGGAAGAAGTAACTCACCCTTAGATTCAAAAAGATTCGGTCTCACAAAAAGTCGCACATCAACCGCCAGAATATGCCCCGTACTCAACAAAGTAAAAGCAAATGCAGTATCAATACACAACCACAATGTGCTGGTAGAATTATCGGCCAGCTCCTAATACAATACAATATTTGATTCACATGGTCCGCATGCTGGTTCATGTTTTAGTAAGAAAATATAATTAGACTGGTTTTAAGAGTCGCCACTTAACTTTTCTGATCAAACAGTAAATCCAATGAAAATATTTAAAGGGTTCGAGGTTCATATTAGCATTTCAAGAACGGTTTGAAAGCACCCGAAATGCCCGCTAACATGCAGTTATCCGATAATTAACTATTTGGCTAAACGATTTTAAAATAAAAGCATACTTTGTTTGAAGAAATAACAACTTAAGACTTGAACTTCAAAATATGAATGGGGAAAATCATTTCTAAAGATCTAATGGAGAGGTGAAGGAACACTTGACCCAACCTTAAATTAAAGCAAATATGGAAAGTCAATTTATGTTTCTTAAGCTTCAATCAGGGGACGAACTTGACTAGAACTGAATCAGCAAGAGACATAAAACAATAATTCAAACTCAAATACTATCGAGTTGATTGCCTTCCAGGATCATTACTATTATTTGAGAACAAAATTAACACAAACAGACCCACAAACAAAACCTAGCACTTTGGAGAATGCTATAGAACAACCCCAAACGTAAGTAGTTTCTCACTCAAACAGACCCTCAGTTGGCATTGAGAGCCAATGGGTCTGTTAGTTGACAACTCACACTAACAGATTTTACAAAATAGGCAGGCAGAGATGGCATTTCAGCAACGAATACAGGTTTCAAAAAGAAAAACAGAAGATAGAAACTTTAAAACTAATAAAATTAAACTCCATATTTTAGCTAGCATTCTAAAAAAAAAGGACACATGAGTTGTATCTCGAGCTATATGCGTCTAAGAAAAGGCAATGAGAAAGAAGTCACCAGTTATATAACATGACTTTCAAACTATACAAAGTAATAAACACCATCAGTCAAAACTTATAGCAGATTATAACCATATAGTCCAAGTCAAGAAATATGTACTCGAATGTAACCAACATAGCTTAAACTAATCGGCTAGCACCAAAACTGAAACAAGAATTTTTCTATATTTTTAAATAGAACAGTAACTAAACTCTTAGGCAAGACAAAATTGATTCTTAATCAATCTTAACAAACGATAACTTAAATATGACTAAGAACACCTACACAGAAAGTATACAACAACCACGAATCAAACAAAAACAAATCTAAGAAAAGACTTTTACCTCTTTCTGGGCAGCAAACAGGACGAAAC